CCGTGGGAAAGGTACTGAAAATAAAAATCATCCAATAATGTTTCACGTAACGCTGACTGCCACTCCTGATGTAGAGGATGTTGTGTTCCCCAGTTGCATGTTGAAAACAGTACGGGACGTGAAGATGCTACTTAACATAGCACATTCTGAATGCAGTCTCATCAAGAACATCGTAAAAGAACAGAATAAGGAATCTCACCTGTTTCAAATTGAAGGAATCATATGTCTGTATACGAACGCTGCGACTTTACGGAACAAAGTGGATACTTTGCGTGAACTGGATAACGCTAATAACAGTAATACGATATGAATATTTTAAACATGGCACCTACATGAATGGAATTATCTAACACCTCCAGACGTCTACTTAGAGTCGTCTACAGGAAACCCAGCTCCTAGACCTAGTCGTATACTGAAAACATTTCCCAGCTTTATTTCTTTCTGATACATTCATGTCCTGATTCACGTTTAACTAAAACTTCTTGAAATCAATTTCCCTGAAATCAAGTACGTTTGAGGTGACAAATCTACTGGTGCTCGGTTCTTCATCTCAATAAATGTATGCATTTTTCGGAAATGTCAATTTAGCAACTCGGTATGGAAATGCTGTCACACATGAACTACATATTTACTAACGAAGGATTCTTAAATGACAGCTTCTCAATCTTGGCTCGCCTGAGTAAACACGATCCTACCGCCAAAGCCTTTAGTTTAATGAGCATAACTGATTTCAAACATTCTGCTGGCAACAAGCGTTGAAAGTTCAGTCGTTTTTATGTGTCGGCTAGACAAGAAGACCAACAACAGGTAGACTGGGAAGTTTACCCTCAACTTGATGTAAATGCTCGTTGAGATTTCTGACTGAACGTAATGTTATGTGCTACAAACTAGTCTGTCTCGCAATGGGTCCTCGAAATATATAGGAAACGTGTGGTTAAAAAAATAATACCATCAAACGTTAATACGTAGAGACGCCATTGAGTGGAATACAAACTAACCAGTGACAGCAGCAGCTCAAACAGGTAAGCAATCTATTCATAAAGGCAACCAGACAAGAAACCCTTCAGTAATAAATAACGTGAATCGATAAACTTATTTCCAAACTTTGAAGCTTATTCCGTCACAAAGTCTCCCTTCGACAAGTCACAACTAAAGGTTCTTGGCTGTCATGTATTGATGACTCAACCACACGACAATAACGCCACCCACCACCACTTCAACTGTCACATAAAAATTACAGCGATAAGAACTCCACCTGCAACTCCACAGGTCTGTCAAGAGTGAGCCTATGAGCTGACCTGATGTATTACAAATCGCAGCACCTAAACATGGGCATTTCTCCCGGCTCAGATATGATGCATTATTCTAAATCGAGAGGAGCAGCTTTAACCTCTGAAAAACAGCTTGGTTTGATGTTTCTACATTCTACAAGCCTAGGCACCGTCCCAGAAAACGTGAACTAATATCTAACGGCCAACGCAGTTGTTCTTGAGGCTAGTGAACGTCTGCACTTCTCTCAACATCCTCAAAAATCATAGATTCACTTATTGATATGGATAGCCAACCAGAATTAGCCTAATGGAAAGAAATCGGTCAATTTTCTAAAGGTTAGAGTGAGTTTTCGAAAATTTTGTTCGGTGGACCAATACACTTTCCCAATCACTCTTTTGTTCTTGCTCAAGTAGCAAGTTTGTAGTGGTATTTGCCCTTACCACATTGTCCTCAAAGCTGAACATGAGATAACTGAGAAACTAGATATTTAACAATTAACATGAAAAGAAGGTCAACAATGGAGAACGCGGGACTAATTATTCGAGATCTAATGGGATAACATGAATCAGCCATGCAGGCGTGGTCATTCTTGTGTAGCTTTTCGTTTCTATTCTTATTGAATATATTTTTCTGTCTCTAATCCAAATGTGTTCTCCATCATATATTGGTGATGCTTATAACAAGACGAGTCAGAGTAGACAACAATGTGTCTTCGAGTGAGATCTTATCGATAAGGTAGCCACATCGTGACAGATTAGCATTACTGACAACTTAGCAGGCCCTAATTCTACAAGTTGTTGGTTTGGAGCGTGGCACATTATGTATCAGTATCACATTTTATACACCGCCCATTACATCACATATATACGACGTTCTAAGTGACTACTTATTGTTTATAAACATATTTTCACCCCTAACAGCGCAGTTTCAGAAAACGTTATTCCAATACAACAAACCTGTTGACAGCTGTGGTCGGATAAAATACTACCTTTAACGGCAGAGGGAAGGTTGATGTCTTACATCTTGAATTCTTAAACATTTTTGGTGAAGTAGATTATATACGTCTCACTCAAACTGGCCAACCGCTCTGTAGAGATGTCCCGAGTTGAAAGAGATCTAAACAAAAATATCACTAGAGCAGACCCTGAACTGGCAACGTTGAAGAGCATTTTCGGGCAGTTTGATAGCAAAACTTCGGCAGATTCATTCAAACACATTTAGAGTATGAACATATAGTGTTTTCCCCCACTTCGAAATAATAAGAATACACTGGAATGTAATCAGTGACGAGACGCGAACTCAGTTTTAGGGCTTAAAATGGACCACTGAATATTTACTATCAGAGTATAGGCATCTAATAGGTGATCTTCTAACAACTTATAGCGTCCTAAAAACTCCTGAGAACCCCCCTTAAATGTTGACCTTATTTCAGTAAGAGAGAGAGAAACACCTGTATATTCAAGGCACAAAATTGCCGGATGGACTGTAGACACAAACTTTGCTCTTTGCAGGTGCACAGATTCGGGAGCTCACTGCAGACTGAGGTGATCAAAATGACTTCCCAAAAGTCCTTCGAGCGAAAACTTAACATATTCTTAAAGATCCAATACAGTATTTAACCATAATTTCTTTTAAAATTTCGGCTTTAATTGTCATTACACATTGGTGCCCACGTGGAGGCATTAGTGATCCCCTACTACTAGATAGGTATGTCAACTAAGCAACTGCTGCTAGTGTTCCGTCCAGTATAACTTGAAACGTTTGAATAAATAATCACTTGAATAAACCATGACAAGTTCCAAAGTTCGTCCATTAAATAAAATGCTTGTGATACATACTTTTTTGGTAGAATTTGTGAGCAACAACTTGGTGTCCTGGCCTAGAATCTCTCATCCTTCCAAGATAATAAACATATTGTGGGGCATATTCATGAAGAGACTCGAGATTTCCTTAAGCCCACAAAACGCTAAACATTGAGTATGAAGACGTTGGATAAAGAGTTCTGATTTTATTTAATGCTCGACTGCTAGAGGTTAATTTAACAGAAAGTAGGACAGTCTTTTATCCATGTGAAATATTTTGTACAATGCTTGGAATGAATGCAAATTCAACCACAATTGACCATCAGTACCAGAGCTAGAATGCAGTGAAAGTAAACCTCCACCCATAACGAGTAATTTTAGATTCAGCACACGCTAGATGCAACAAACCGTAGGCCGAAAGAAATACCGTTAAGAGATCAGAAAGCATACTAGAACACTAAGTATAGGCCTTCACACTACTAGAACAATTAGCACAACTAACCTTCAGGGTTGGTAAACAATAAATCTCCGCGTTCGATAGCTATGAACCTTAGAAACGGGGATTATCTTATTTCGGCTCTTTAGGCTTAGTAGAGCTCAAAGAATGATTTAAGTCACGTCAGATGTTAAGGGGCAAATAGATCGAAAAGAAATCAGGGGAGCAGCTGAAAATGACAAATCTTATTGTCGTTTGACCTCTTTCAACAACCGGCGATGCAGGACAACAGGGACTCTTGTCACGCTAGAATCCACCAGCAGGTGATAAGTCATCAAGTGCCTCCATAAAAATGTAAAAGGTCTGTGACGTAAACTGGGAGAGCGAATACTTTCATTTGGATTTGAATTTATCGGGCCAATCTGAAACATGAAACGTTGAAAAGATAGGTTTCACTAATCCACTTTTATCTTAGTTTCAGAACTACCTAAAGTATAGTATGTTTCGTCTTAGGATAATTAGAGTGCACATAAGTTGCAGGGTCTCGACATCAGGAGCTTCACGGTTCTTTATGGAAATTTACCCACGTTTGTTTCTTCAGAGTACAATCTGTAGCTAATGATCACAAAGAACATGGACACCAACTCAAAATACACCGGAAATGCAGGCAACACAAATTGAACTCAGTGCTTTAAGCAATGACAACTTAGCATATTCACTAAATTAGTGTCCTTACCTCATTATGAAACTTACATAAAACTCTATTCTGAAGTCTACAGTTTTGTCCAATAATCTCTTGGACCAAGTACAAAGATAGGCAAATGAGTGGGTGATAGGGACAAAGAATAAAGCTTACGAAGACATGCTCCAACACGTGATGTTCTTTAAGAGCGGTAGAAAAATGAACGATGATCTGAGAGTGTCAGTCTCCCACTTCGAACAACTGTGCCTGATGTGTCTCATAATTCAACTACTGTTAACATTACTACTTATCATTAACTACATCGTATCTCGCTTATTGTTTTTCTCGTTTCTCCTTTTATTCGAAAACTTCGGTCTTTTCACAATGTCCACATCACCAATTAACTAAGTTGCTGATTCATTTATTTATTGCCTGAAACAACCATCTTCTAACATTCGGATTTTCATTTTACTACTTTTACGGAACAATCAACCAACCTATCAGTGATAGGTTCTGGTAACCAGAAACCCTACAGTCCAGAGTAAAATGCACTCGAGTTACAAAATACACAAGCCGACAAAACTGAATGGAGTTAATATCATCGAGTTGCTTGACTACCACCCATTAGACATTACCAAATAACTGGAACAGTACTGAAACAACAAGAAAAGATTGCAAAGAAATCAATCTGTTTATACAAGCTCGTGTCAACGATTTTGGATATTGGACATATTATCAGTTGTTCACCTTTTTTTCATGTTTCTAGGCCTTTACTTAATAATATCATTTGCATCTTCTATATCGTTCACAACTATTTAAATCACATGAGTCATTTGTGGATATTGACCTTCAGAGACCCGCCAAGGAGAAAAATTGTGGAATAGGATGCCAAGAGGTGTGTTGGAGTATATTTTAGTGGTCTCCTTATGCTATCGTGAAGTCTTGGGATAAAATCAAAAAACGTGACTTCAGTTATACATATCATTTTCAAGTGCTAGGTTGCAGTTCTCAGTCATTTTAATGAGTTCGTGTTTATGTATTTTATAACGAAAAAATTGAAAGCTGTGTATGGCACTCAGATTTTCAAAATATGTGAACTACAGTATTATCAATAAGCTTTCCTTTTACCTTCTAATATTTTACCGGCGAGACTAGTTTATGGACGACCTCTGAGCGACGCTATACAGACCTCGAGAATATCCACCTACATACTACGGCAATATGAGGGTTATAAACATGTGTAAGGAACCAGGGTTAATATTTACAGTTGATAGTTAAAGTTAGGAATTAAATAAAGCTTTTTAATCACGAGCTGACGTCAGTTATAATGCCAAAACTAACCAAATGGCGGAATTAGTTTCGCGTCAAGAATGGTTATCGTAAATCTGATTGGTTCCTCCTTAAATTACAGTCTCACCCTTTTATTATCGATAGTTAACCGTGTAGATTGCATTTTCCGGGTCGGAAATGTCTGATATACTATCACTTCGGCAATAAGTACATGAATGTTCTACTCCCTCATATTTTAATATTTCTATCCCAATGTCAAGTGCAGATTTAGTGTAGTCAACTTCTTACATTTGGTTTAATAGCCAATAGTACTACTAGATTACTAAGATAAAAGCGGCGACCTAATGATTGACTTAACCACTAAGTTATCACTTCACTTAGAAGTATGCTCTCCCTCTGTAATCACACAGTCATGTTGACTCACTTAAAAGAAGACTGTACCCACTCACAATTTAGTTCTTGATACCTTACATATTATGACTAAGCCACTGTAGGACTTCGGAGGGAGAGCCTGGGTCTTCCATTGTATAACAACACGGTCACCAGAAATTGTCTTCAGAATTGGTTCTGATTCAAACAAATGCTTACAACCTAGATATATATTTCCCTCCAATTCGTATTGTACGATTTGCGTAGACAGTGATCCTTGTGCATCTCTCTACATTTGCGTAGTTATTAATAACGCTCGTACCATTTTAAGACGGTCTAAAGCGAGCAGCGTTCGGCCTTAGCCTTCTTTAATTGATTACTCAACGTTGGTATGAACTAAGAATAGGAATGGCTGTTCAAACTTGCGTGTCTACCACCCATGCTGGCATATTTTGACGCACTTGCGTTAACTAGTTGGGGTTGTCCAAGAGTGGTTTTATGTATGAAACACGAGTTAACTTGTATTGAGCAACCGTCAATTTTGTGTAGCGCCTCTCTGCATGCCAGTTTTCCAGTCGGCACTTGAATCACATTTTCACTCACTGATTGACAAAAGCCTCTTTAGTCAATTAAGCGAATTCCTTAGCTTAATTGTTTCGGAACTAGTTTTTGCAAATATTTGATCAGATTCAGTGCAAACTTCATCTTTAGGCTCTGTTCTTAGCATATGAATTTCAAACAGCTCGCTCCTTTCATAAGCTTTGTCGTTCACGAGAAACCAATCATAATGTTACGTTGTCTATTAATCAACCGAACCTACTGATTCCATTAAACTGTTCCCGTTGATACACTCAGAACATTAGCTTGACGTTAGGGTTCTTTCTTTTTTACTTCAACGTGTATTTACCTGAGTCCAAAAAGTCATAAACTATATCAATTTCATCACTAATTACTTTAAGAAGTCGAGTTCAGAAGCCTAAATTACATTTTTGGAGACGACGTAGTTTCGGTGACACCTAGTGACTCTTCGAATATAACAAGTTTATTTTGAACATGTGTACTTCAAAATAGTCATTTATATTGACTCTTAGAATTTTTCAAGCAGGGCTGTAGACGGAAACGCGAACTTGTGCATGATTATCGCTATATGTTAAGCAGGTGGTAAGAATAATTTTATATCACTTCTCCGTTTCCATCTGAATATTGCAAACTTAACGATCATGGTTATACGGACTACCATATTTGTGCAAGCTTTCGAAAAATGAATTTGAATAACATATCGTCACTTGCGTATTCATATTGAACTTTGATGGGGATAGCATCAAGAAATGCCCTTACATTGATATAGTATTGATTTAATAGTTGGATTCATTAGTCGATGAAGGCCAGACTATCATTGAAAACCTGGAAGCACTGGACGGACGTTTCATCGCAGTATGGGACTCCCCAGCAGTGTGCACCCACGGTCTCGCACGTGGGACTCGAACCCAGGACATTAGATCTCGCGCACGAATGCTTAATGTCTAGACCACTGACGCGGCAACCAACGGTGTTAATGTGTAACTCCAACCAATTCACGATATTGCGCGACCGTCCACCAGTTTTCGGTGAGTAACCGCCTCACAACGAAAACGGTTGAACTCCACTGATCGCGGCTTCTCACTAGAACTCCAGGAAATACATCTTGGGGAGTCCCATACTAGGACAAGTCAACCTTCCAATGTTTTCAGTGGTGGTCTAGCTTAAATCCACTCATGAATACAACTATTAAATTGACATATTTGTTGTAATCGGTCCTGATATTATTTTGAAGCGCAAAATATCAAATTTTCAGACCCTCGATTCTAGTATTCTAATCCACAAGTAATTGAGTTTGGCGTGTTTTGTGTTTTCTCTAAGTAGGCCTTTTGCACTTACAAAGCTGTCCAAGCTCTACACCCCCTATCTCACTCTCTTATCGAAAAGACTGTGGTCACTCAAATTTAAGTCAGGAATCACTTTAAGTTCAACTGCCCTCTAAGACATTATATATTTCTATATAATTCTAGACAAATATAATCTGGAATATGTTCACAACATATAATCTAGTGTTTTTCTTGTATCTACAGATTATGACAAACGCCCTCGATCAAGATCTCATGACCGATACAGGGATCGTAATGATAATTGTGAGCGTTCTCGTAAACACCGAGAAGACTACCATCGAAGAGATCGCGACCACGGATACGATTGTGATGAAAGAGATGTAGAAAGAAGCCGATACCGACATGAAAAAGAAAAACGCAGAGACCGTGATAGTCGACGAAGACATGAACAAAATCATAACGACGAAAGATGGAAGCGTCGTACACGCTCTAGGAGCCCCATGCCTACAGCTGAAACAGAAACCGTGGAGTATGAAGAGGGTAGGTTGTTCTTGAAACTCCATCACCTTTTTAGCAGAACCAACTGAACCTGTAACCGAAGAGGAGGCAGAAATGATGCGCACTATGGGTTTCTGCAATTTCGGCACAACAAAAGGAAAGCATGTTATTGGTAACAGTATTTATGTGGCAAACATAGCAAAACAGCGAAAGTATCGTCAGTACATGAATCGTCGTGGGGGTTTCAATCGTCCGCTCGATCCAGTTGCTTAAACATTATGATATTTGTATATATTCTCTTAAAACCTGTCAAAACGCACTCAACATAACGAGATGTATTGATAGGAAGTATAACTCGTACATTTACAAAAATTGTAATGTGTATTTCACAAAGTAAGAAGGGCCAATTGCTGCGTAGGTATAATAGATGTATTTGTTGCGTTGCAAGGTGAAACACTTGCTAAGAATAAATCATACTTCGCTTTTCGGGCAAGTGTTATTTGAAAAAAGGCAATCTAGCATTCGAAGCTCAACCAACAATTTAAAAATACGCAATTACGAATAAGGCTAGGTTCTTTTACGGAAATCGTTCATTTGATTTCGATCATTATGTAGAAACTATATCAAAGATAAATTAATATATTTGTAACATCACAATGAGTTATTTGTTCTCCGAAGAAGTGGCTTACACTGAGTCACGAAACATCAGAAAATCTAATTTCCCTGCTCATTGGGATATTACAAATATATTAATTTATTTATAACAATCTACCCAATGCTCAATTTATTCGAAACTACCAAGCCACACCTTGGTAAGGATACCTATATCAAGGATATTTGCTTCCCAGAACACCGTTGAGACGTCAGTTTTTTGTTGTGCTTACGTCTTTACCTTGCAAATCTTAAGTGAATCGATCTTAAGCATTATTTACAATTAAAATAATTTCTTCATATTCTACACTAACTGGGAAATTCGATCATCCCAAGAAGTGCAGTTTTCTAAGTAGTATAACATCTAGCATATCATCTGAATACGCAGTACTGTAGAATACTATAAGCATATTTTAAAATAATACTATTCTATACATCTAAACAAAAAAAGTAGTACAGGATTCATATAGTACTAAATGTGACAATAAAATAGAGCGATTAACATTAGTGAACATCTCAGTACTTTATTAGATCGTTACTAAAATCCATAAACGTTGGTCATTTTTGCAGCGCTAGTAATATCTTTACAAAAATCTCTCATCACTTTTATTTAAATTATTTGTTGTACAAAAGTAATGAGCAGCACATGTACACGGAGAAAGTAATATTGGTTTGTGTTATAAAATATTTACTATTTTACAACTGCATTAACCACCAAGTTCAGTGTTTGCCAATGTAGATCTTGTCATATCAGTTTTTTCCTCTAGCTAACATTTGTCATAAAACGATGTGAATGTTTAGGGCCAAACATGAAGCTGTTGGCTGCCAGAAAATCCAACATTTCGGAACAGGGACAAGTCCTTTGATGCATTAAGGTTCTGAAATAGATTAGTCATCCGAATCATAACGGTACATAGTCATCGCCTGGTTTATGATCTTATTTTTAAACAGTAACAAAGACGGTCCATTTATTGAATTTAGAAATCTAGTTATACATTTGTCATTTGTGAGTTGGGCCAAAGCAGGTTCTACGTTTGCCATGAGGAATAAGATCACTAAAGCCATTAATTGACTTTCGTTTGGGTTCATATGTACGTTCTTACTTGTAAGACTAAAAGAAAAAAAAGGAATATCGCTAATGAGTAGTGAAATTGGAAAGTGTGAAATTAGAAAAAATGTAATTACGTTTTAAGTTTCCTAGACTTACGTAGAGCATGCCATTACCCAAAAGATGTCTTGTTTTCGTGCAGTATCGTCTCAATAGAGAATTATTATCTTGACAACGGAGTTCAGCTGAACCAGCCGACATATTGACAGGACATTTAATCATCGATATCTCATCATCACCGAATGACGAGATAAAAGTCAGCTACCAATGTTACAAGTAATTAAACTGTGGCGACGAGATATGACTGCGAAAGCTGTACTACTAACTAAATAGAAATGTAACGGCATTAATCGTTGAATGATGCGGACTTTTATTTCAGTGAAAAAATTCAAAATGGTCACAAAACAACATCTATTCTAAGTAAGTCCTAATATTCTTCGAAATAAAGGAAGCTAAACCACCCAGCTTAGGAAATGTGACACTAAAACCATCCACCTGAGTTGCGAATCCTCATCAATACAAAGACGATCTTTTGGTCGTGGGTGAAAGAAAATTTCTAAAGGATGTTTCTTCAGAAACGTAAATTTTATGAAAATAGTTACAGTAATTAGATTTATGCTTACTTCAGGATATTGGGCAAAATTGAGTTATAAATCTGTTGATGAATTGAGAAACTTACTTAAAATAAAGCACAGAATTTTCTAATCTTCTGTATACACAATGAATATTTATTTTTAAAGCATCTAATATTGGATGCATGCTAGAATCAAAAAAAGTAAATTGAGGTTTTTTTTAATAAGTGAATACTAGGACAATCACTTAGTTCACTGTTATGTATTATTTTATTAACTGCTTGATTCGAATTCTCCATGGAATTCTACGCTAAATGAAGTAATAATTTTGTGACTCACTCGAAGAATAGGGCACACTAGTATACAGTATTAGTAGAAGGTACTTATCGCTCACCAACAATTCGCTAGCTTAAACAAAAGCCAACTAAGTAGAAAGATAATTATAAGCTACTGAAAACTTGGTAGATTGGGATTCCAACTCGTTCAAAAGACCAATTTAATTAACTCCGATGAAAGTAAACGGAACATCCCTAACCACATTAAACGTGACTAAGGGACTATAAGTATAAGTACTTTTACTCCAAACTTTACGTTCAGAATTTACTGCTCACATTGAAATGATATTACATTATTTGCGCGCCATCATATAGGCTTGTACAACACGGGCTTAATGATTAGTTTCCTAAGTTTACGAATTACCTATTCAAAAATGACTGTCTACAAAAAAGATTCATTAATCGCAATTACCATCTTATTTAAGAATCCATGTTTGTTGATGGCTCTTGTCTCCATACATCCTTTAAAAGAATAATTTTCGGGTAAACAGTAGATTATTCCGATTCTTCACACTACGTTTTGGTGTAAATAGGCAAATATTGGTAAGGCTATTGATATAACTGAACAAGACTAATATGGTTTAATTCGAGAAAGAAGGTAAGATTGTAGATGAAGATTTTATTATGCACTAACCAAAAGCCCACAATCAGGTAAAAAATTATTTGGAAGCACTGGGTTACATATCGTTGATTCATCTCGCCAGTAGTTGTGTTATGAATAATTAAAACTGGGCAACACTTGATATCAATAACCAATCACTTAATGCATGCATACACTTTATCATATCAACAGATTAATCTGCTTTAACTAACAAATATGACTAAATTACTGGGTCACATGTTGGCCCTATCCTCATATGTAATTCCCTGTGAAAAATCTAGTTTGGTACACAGCAGGAAAAAATACGCCCCACATATATTTCCACGGGAGTGTTGTGTATAACTAAATGATCATAAAAACCGCACCTAAAATAATTACTTTACCTTTTTTTGAGATCATCCAGTAGGATTTGTCTACGGAGAACTTCAGGAGAAACCGAATCAATAAGTGGTAGAACACAGGTAAGCGGATACTAGAAAAAACAAAACATAAAATAATCCTGTATTCTAATGGATGAAATACTGAGATTTCTAGACAACTGTCTCATACAAATGGAAATACTCGATATTAAGATACAAATATGAGGTTGAAATAAAAGAAATGCAATTTCCTAATAATGAATACCAACTAATATAGACTGTATTTTACACACAGAAATCACAAGGCCTTAATTGATTCCGCTAAAAATAATCGTTAGGTCGTAGAGACCATTAGCAAATCTCAAGAGGCCTAAACCACTAGAATTAGGCTGGACAGACACCGAGGATCACTAGACGTGCTACCAAAACATGTGGAGGAGAATCACAAAACAGGTTCATACACTGGTTAACAGTAATATTTTAGTGCACACCAAAATAAGATATGGGAATCACTAAAATAGGAAAAGGAGTCAAATTTTATCCTGTCATGGTAATCAATATTTGAAAGACTGAAATATTTACTCTGTGAAAGTCGAAGCGCGGACAGACTGGTTAGTCACAATCAGTAAATCATTACATCCTATTTAGTTTTACAACGAAATTACTTTGTTAGTTTCGTCAAGAGAAATATTTTCCCTCACCTATCGACCATAGCTAAAATAAAACTATAGCTTTGGACTAAAAGCACGTAACAGTTTGTTTACACATTATGTGGTAAGCATATATACTGAGGAATGATACTGTAATAGAAAGCAGATAAAAAGGCAACCAACTTACGTCAGAAAATTGAGTTTTCTCCCGGGTTTCTCCTTTTGATGATATATGTTTTGAGAAAAATTGCTGCAAAATTTTGCTATGTAACCCATCAACCGAAGTTGGTTCGTCAGATGTAAATGTATAAGTGGTGAGAATCACAAATGCTTTTTCAGTTAGCCACTCTTGTAAACGTTTTGAAAGTTTGTCGCATAGATTAGTAGGAACATTTTGGTTATCCAACAGTTGTTCACAATCTGATGGAGACTTGAGATACATTTCTGACTGATCATCATAAGATGTAACTCTAGATTCAACAGAGTCTAATGCATGTGGACAAATGTCACGGACTACGATGCCATTTTCATTATTTGTTCCAAGTGCCAGTTTCTCGAGTTCCTTACGTGAATATTCCAATGTACTACTCGACAAGTCAATAGATTCGGATTCAGTATTCACATTTAGTTCGTTTTCAATACTTGAATCACTTTCAGATCCATTTAAGAGTAAACGATTCTGTACATCTAAAATCACTTTACCAACATGTCCTGGAACATTAGGAGGTAGCAAACTTATGTGACGTGGTTTTAAACTATCTGCTGAACGGCACCATGCTGGTTCTTTAGAAATCTGTTTGCGTATGTAACATGAAGCACGGTAACACCAGTCTGAGCAAAATGGCTACGATGAACAAAGTCAGTAGATTTAATTGGGAGTTTTAAAAATGAATAGCAATAAAAAGCTCATTAATATTTAGTGTCTACTAGATTACGAACCTCCTTCTAAAACTAAGATTATGGAGACTGGGAAGTGCGGACATTCTCAAAACATTTACAAAAACAAAACCTATTTCTAGTGGTTCAGCACGACATAATTCATCAAGACTCATAGTCTATAAAATTCACATGTTTATGATAGACAGAGTTTTGAAGTACTGACCTCCGTAATACTATGCTTCACCTTAACCACTGGATCCGCCGTCAACGATGGATCCTGAAAACGTCATGTGGATGAGTATTTGATGTACTACGAATTCCGAACAATCTGGATCCTTTAACGTACGCCTTTGCTTCTATGTACATTGTTACACCAAAAATCACAACTGACTCGATAGTTTATGAGATATTAATTAACACAATAAGTTATCCCAGGATCCATGTACAATAATATCATGTTTGTTTTTCTCAAGTCAAAAACAGGCTGCTTGAAAGGCGGTATTCTTGAGCACATAAATCTAGTGATATAAGTTTATTAGGAATTAGTAATAGGTTCAGCAACAAAAATAATGATAAATTCGTTATACCCCAGTCAATAGAAAAATGAACTTCTGATGTTTCGCATTGTATTGTAAATAACTTCTTCAGAAAAAACGACGCGGTTAGAAATAAGACCTTTTACTCCTTGGGATAACTGAGCCTGGAGGTTAGCGACCCATCCCGTAGAAAACTAACTCAATAAAAAAACTCTAACCAGAAAAAAACTATTTAAACTCTGTCCTGAGAGTCAGAAAGTCCTCATTTAGAAGTTATGACGCCTCATGATGAAAGCCGAGTTCCTTTGGAAGTCACGATGCTGACACCCCTTCTAACAAACAAAACAACCATCTATTTAGGTACATGGTATACTCGTACAATGTGGGGGACCGGGAGAGTCTTCCAAATGGCTGCACAAATGAAGAGATACAACCTAGATGTGCTTGGGATCAGTGAAACACGTTGGACGCAAGTTGTATAACAACGACTAGCTTCAGCCGAGCTTGTTATACTCCGGCCATCAAGAAGAAAATGTCCCACATACACAAGGAGTTGCATTGATGCTGTCTAAACAAGCACAAAATGCACTTATAGGACGGGAATCTCATGGACCAAGGATCACCAAAACCTCCTTCAAAACAAAGAAAGAGGTCATTTCAATTAACGTCATCCAATGCTATGCGCCTACCAACGACTACAATGAAGATGCTAAAGATCAATTCTACACTAGGCTGTAGTCAATCGTTGAGAAGTGTCCAACAAAGGACTTGACCATTCTGATGGGAGATTTAAATGCCAAGGTTGGAATGGACAACACCGGATATGAAGACATCATGGGACGACACGGACTGGGAGAAAGGGGCGAAAATGGTGCGAGATTTGCAAACCTATGTGCCCTCAATAAACCGGTTATAGGTGGACGATGCAGAAAGTGACAACCAAGAGAGGAGCTGATATAGCCTAAGATAATCACGTACTGATCGCCAAAATGGAATTGAGACTCAAGAAGCACTGAACAACGGTGCGGACAATATAACAAATAAGTAAGTAAGTACTCTTTGGGATGTGACAAACTTATCATTATTTTTGTGATTAACAATTCATCTGATGCTCAATTCTTTCGAAATCATCAAGTCAAACTTTGGTGACGAAACTAAGGAATTCAAAATTTTTGAACAAACATATTGAAAAATCAGAATTTTCCACGTACTTTGGAAATAACTCTTTCCTCGTTACCGCTAAAATGCACTTATAATTATCAATAAATCATAAGATATGCTATTTCAAACCTTGGCTTACACCCTGTTACATACCGAATGACCGCTAAATAAACCTTTCTAACCTATAATTTGCCCTGATATTATTTCTCAAAAAATAAACCAATGTGTGAGACTCACTTGACGCTTGGTAATATCGTATACTCTCCGAGTGGTTGTGCAGATTCGGTACTTTTGTTTATTGGTTTGACCTTTCGGCTTGGAACATAATGCATAACCACAATTTCCATAAGCATTTCGCTCTATCGAGATATCGTCATATTGTTCACGTTCCAACCATGGTAACTAAATTGATGGGAAAACACAAACGTCATCACTTGAATATAAATTTCGTTAAATAAACTAAGAAAATAGTAAGATTTATATAGTTTCATTTAGAACATTTTCATGTACAAAAAAAATCTTCAAAGCCTACTCTGTGATGAATGTTTAAAAACTACATTATAAGTCGACTGTATAATGATCCAGCAATTAATTTATGAACTCATTCTAATCTCGCTAACGACTTATTATACGACATCCAGATAACAAAAATTTCTAATAAAATAGTGAAATTTGAATTGGAACAGGCTGAGTTGAAGTCACCTTGACTTGATATGATGTCTAGTTCAACTTTGACCGGTCTGCGGTATTCTACATAGTGCTTATTTCTTGAAAAATAAACATCACGGAAGTGGACTACGAAGTTTCTGGAAGACAAAGAAACTATACTAAGAATGTTTGATAAGTCATCACTACTAGAGCAGTTTATTGTATTTATAAGAATACTGCTGCCATCCTAGTTAGTTTCGAGAGGTGAATTAGAACTTAGGTCATTTTTAGATCTAATCAATGTTGACTGCTTCCCAAGACCAAAACGTTTGAGAAAACACTCTTAAGGAAATGCCATATTAAAACACAAATTTTTATTCAGGTATCATCAATTAATATATAGTCTTGATGTTCAGGGTACATCCTGACAAGCCAATTTTTGTCAACGACCAGTGAAATAATTTCGGATTCTTGTTAAAGCTTGACTTTAGTTGAATAATCACTAAAAACCAGGAAAGATCAGACAGCTAGTTTTCATCGTTATGGAACACCTCAACAACAAGAATTCATAAACAAAGCACAGGTCGTACCTGAAACCCTCAGGTCTCGCGGCAAGCACGTAACATCTAGATTACTGAGTTTGAATTCAAGGGTACACACTACTAACCTGAATACACGTGACAAGATAGGTTTCCTAGAACGTGCGCACATAGAATCAATTTTAGTTATAATGCAAGTTTTCCTACCTTTACTTCGAATATGTGCGTTTCCTAAGAAAGAGTACAAATGAATACAAAAAATATTTATGTTAATGGTCTCCATTACGTTTACACATTCATCGGATATATGATAATTAGAAGAAAACTTCACTCATAATAAATGAGTACATTCGATTGATGAAACAAAAAGAATCGTCGAAAATACAAAAAACGACTAACCCGATATCTGTATTAATACTTACAGCATAAGCTAGCATATCAGTATTCACAGGATTGTGAGCGAATCTTTCAACGATCCGTAAAGCTTGACGGAGAAACAGTGCTTGTCGCTTTCTCGTCTCGACTTTATCTTTTTCTAATCCCTTGAAAGGTGGAGGGGCAGAGGGAACATCGAATTCATCATTCCCGTCTGAAGACATCTAAAATTAGTAAAATCTAAAAGATAAGCAAGATGAATCCAAGGGGATTTGGTAAAACAATAATTACAGAAATATATACATATATATTCGCAAAAACGCAACACAATAAGAAAACAGAAATAACAGAAAAGCATATCTCGAGATTTTTTGATCAATGAGATTCGGGGTATGAAACATGCACGAGTAAAGAACAGTTTGTACACTTTGCATACGGGACTTGGCATAGTACAGCAAGGTCGTCTAAGACATGACTTCCACCGCAGCGACAAGGAAACCAATAACAGTGACACTCTTGATTGTGGGATTGTAAATCTACGTCATGAACGGATTCGCTTTCATCATGAAATTGGTCAAATGATACGTCAGACTGTATAGGCAACCCAGCAGAGTGAGATATAATTTTATGTTGTTTCAACAAAGCGTCATAAGCTTTACGTTTTTCTGGATATCGCAAAATACTCCATGCCCTTTCTATGACCAAGAATTTTCTATTTGAAACATCTGGATTTTTATCTGGATGGAACTTGAGTCGAGCTTCGTTAACAATTCGTTTGATTTCGTCTTCTGTAGCATCCATGGTACACCCTAAAACTTCATAAAAATCATCCATTATCCTAAAAAAAAATGCAGATATTAAGCAAGCGGAACAAAATGAAGGGAAAAAAAGTTGAGTGATTTTAATTGTGTATTTCAGATGTATATACATATTTGTGCATTTGTGTGTAGCGGTAACGTTTTAATCGCTTTCTTCATCGGAATCGCAATATTCTGGTGCTTCGGGTTTGGCCCAATTCGGCTCTGATGATTTTGGAAGTTGGACTTTATTGGTTGGAACCCAACCAGTCTCCACACTTTTGTTAAGAAAGTCACCTTTATCACTTTGTTCTCCTTTACATTGAACAGGAGAATGCGAACAGGAATGATGTTGATCTTCATGATCACTTTCGCTTAATTCAGAATGCTTCTTCTTTTTTTCACGCAGTATAGTAATACGAGATAATAGATTCTTGGCAAATTTGAAAAAGCCTTTGGTATCTGTAGTGCATGCGTAGCACCGTGCAGTTTTTTTATATCGCTGAAGAGCACAATCACTACAAAAGTAATGTTTACATCTTTTGAATTAGACAGATAAATCTATTGAAACTTACATGGTCACAACTGGGTCTTTATAGTCTTTGCGACAAATCATGCAAAATAATGGAATATCTTCAAAGCCTTCGTCTTCAGAAGAGTTGTGCGATATCTCGTAACGATTGTCTTCACCATCAATTCCATACACTCCCTCGGCTAATTCTTGTTCTATTTGCCAACCATGTTTATAGTCTGATCTGTCATGCAGAAACTTGCAGCTATCCCCAAAACTACAAAATCCTGTTTCTTTGTAGTCCTAAAATGTAAACAACTTAAGGCCCAAAACAAATATACACACTTTACAAATATCCGGTTGATAATCCCATCTTACAGTAGCTCTTAAATTGGCTGGCGCTCGCATAGGACCTTTACGGTTGAAGCCACTAGATGCATTGCCCATAACAGTGTCTTTCTTCTCAATGTACTGAGCATAATTGTTAAGTCCCTTATATATATTGCGATTATGAGATTCCTGAAAAAACGAATAATGGTTCTATAAATGAAGTAGAAAACGCACCTGGTTTAATTTTTGAGCCTTTTCAAAGATAGCTTGTGCATCACAGTTCACATCGGTATCGATCTCCACAGTAGCAGTTGCAATATGCTCTTTTGTTATCCTAGATTCCTTAAAAATTATAAATATTATTATAAAAAATGTACCTTAGAATGAGAAGCCTTATAAGTGACGGTATTAGGAGTGCTGTTATCAAACTTATCAGAATCATCATCAGATGAGCAGTTTTTGTTACCACTAAACTTTGAAGTCTAAAACTGTATATTATAGTTGTCATTAGCAAACCTGTTGATACAGCATATTATTAATTTGACGTCTTTTCTGAGTTTTTATGACTGCTTCATCTTCACTAGAAGAACCTTTCTCAAAATAAAATTTATGCAAAATGAATACCCTCTTTTTGTCGTATATTTTTTCGACTACGCTTTTTAAAGAAGACACAACTTTCGCTCACGTCTTCAGTCATAATTAGTATCTAGATGAAAAATAAAAACAGACTGTTACAAGCTTAGCACTAACTTCCGTAATAATGGGCAATAAAATCAAGTTCCTTGAATCTAATTTACAATGGTGACCACTAGATTTCATTTGATTTCTCTTTACGCAAAGATGACATCCTGGCACGTACAATTATAATTGCAGCAGGGAGTTTCCGAAAAAGAGGTGGATATATTTGCACAAAGCCTACTTCGGTCTAGGTACCCGAGTAGTATTCGAGCCAGCACACAACTATGATGATTACTAATGAACGAAATCCTTTTGTCTGAACCTATTAATTACACAAACGACTATTCCATTTACTTAATTAAATACAAAGTAATTCTGAAATTCCCCATTTTTCTATTTTCTCTCATTACCGTTGTGTTTGCGCCTTATTTTCCAATTCTGAAAGCTCGCCTAAAGTGGAAATTTCTTTCTACATAAAACGAACTCCAGCCACTGACTGGTCGAAATTTCACTGTTACCAATGAATAAAAAATATGAATTAGCTTTTCTGAACAGACGTGTGCCATTCAAACAGCCTTTAACCGGATCCCAAACCAAATCAATGGTGCACATGGGCTTCAGTATCCTGCAGGAACAAATGGCGTATGAACCAATTTTCGGTCACCGGCTACCATGGGACTGCATCTCCTCGCGATGCTCTACTGCCCTGTGGGCCAGACCTTTAGGTCAAAGGCTCGGGGTGTGGCCCTCTAAGGAAACCACCTGCCTCGGTCTGGGCACCCGGGTAGCATTACAACCCACACACAAATACGATGAAATGTCTAAATTTATGGAAACTACTTTTCTTGATTCGACTAACAATCAAATGGTTCAAATTATTATTATCATTATTATTATTATTATTATTATTATTATTATTATTATTATTATTATTATTTACTATGTCATTATTCACCCCCTTTTATTCCTACTCTGTCGATACTTATTTTTTCGACTTATACAACAGCTCGTCTATGGTGGAAATTCGACTCTATCTAAACGTTCTCGAGTCACTGCCTGGTTGAAAATTGTATGTTACTACCGAATATGAGTACTGAAGCAGTTTTTCTGAAACCGCGTGCACCATTCAAACTGGCTGCCTTCAACGTTCGCACACTTATGCAGGTCGGACAACAGATAGGGCTGGTTATGTCTGTGGAACGTCTTAATATCGACGTTTGTTGTCTAGCCGAGACTCATATTCAAGAATCTGATGAAGTACTACAAATTCGCTCTCCATGTCGCTTCGAAAAGCTTGTTTTACGTGCGCTTATCCGGGGACGCAGTGGCATCTTCGTCTGGTCTTGCTGGCGTTGGTGTCGCACTAAGCGCTAGAGCTGAGGCAGCACTAATCGACTGGATTTCCATTAACAGTCGGTTATGAGGTGCTATATTAGAAATTCCATCAAAGTGAGAAGAAATCGGCGTGAGAAACGATGTCTTTTCGTCATCTTCGGCTATGCCTTGATAGATTGCAGCCCGGATGCAGTCAAGGACGAATTCTACCACCAGTTGACTGTCCTCCAGTAAGTGTGTTCGATAGATATTATAGTACAGAAGAGTCGTTTGGGTGGCCAATGAGGACTTGTCGATCGCAGGACAGATAACGTGGACCGTCTACAGCAACTTTGCACAGACCACAACCTGTTTCTGGCTAGCACTAACTTCCGACACAGTCATCGCCGATGTGCCACCTGGCGTCCTCCCTCTGCATCTCAAACCTGGACTCACATCGCGATCAGCTATCGCTGGCGTGGTTGTGTACAAGACTGCCGCTCCTTTTGGAGTACCTATCTGGACTCTGGTCATGCTCTAGTCTGCGTCAATCTTACCTTACTTTTCAGTGGCAAACGAAGCGACCGCCAGCAAAGGATTGATGTCAGCAAGTTGGTTGCAACTTCTGTTGCAAGTAAGTATCGAACCCAGCTAGCTTCTAGGCTAGCTACCATTCCACCGAAAAGTATAGATGAGCATTGGTTGCAATTGCATGACGCCATGAAAATGGCGGGTACAGTCAGTTGTGGGTTCGCAAAACGTCCCGCTTTTAAGCACTGGGTTTCTGCAGGTTCCTTACAGCTCATTGAAGCCCGTCGGTCTACTCCGTGTGACCGTGAGTTTGACCACAAACGAAGGATATTACGTAATGACATTGGGTAGTTTGTGTAAGAATTGAGAAGCCTGATGGTCGGAGCGTGCTAATGAGCTGGAAGCAGCAGCTGCATCTGGTAACTACCGGAAGCTCTTCCAACTCATCCGAGTCACTGGCAGCAAGAAGTCTGGTGTGAGCGAAACAATCTACGAGGATGATGGGATGCCAATCACTAACATCCATCGACGTCTTGGACGATGGGCAGAATTTTTCGAAGGGCAGTTCAACTGACCTGCTGGTCCGGCAACATCGGTCAGACTGTCCTGTCCTCCATGGCCGGTGACGACTCATCCACCAAATGAGGCGGAAGTCCGCAAGGAACTCCAACTCTTGAAGCGTTACAAATCACCTGACCCAGACGACTTACCTCCGGCTCTTTTTAAAGATGGTGGTGACATTCTGGCTAAGGAACTGACAAGGTTGTTTACAAAGGTCTGGGAGCTAGAGAGTGTACCAACGTCTTGGAATGAGTAGATAGTTGTCCTTATCTTTAAAAAGGGTTCACGTCGTTCCTGCAACAACTATCGGGGGATAAGTCTACTTCCGATTGCGTCCAAGCTATTGGCTTCCATCATGCTTCGTAGGTTGTTCAAAACGCAAGAAAGATTGACTCGCGAGAAGCAGGCTGGGTTTCGTTCTGGTCGAGGATGTATTGATCATATCTTCACCCTTCGCCAAATGTTAGAACACCGTCATACTTATCAAAGGCCAACAATCGTAGTGTTTCTTGACATCAGGGCTGCCTTCGATTCGTTGGACAGGACTCTTCTCTGGGATTGTCTATTGAAGAAGGGTGTGCCTGAGAAGTTTATTAACATCCTAAAAGCCCTGTATAAAAACACCTCAGGCAGAGTGAGGGCATACAACCATCTCTCCATTGTTCCATTCGAGCAGTGGGGTTAGGCAGGGTTGCCCAATCTCACCATTCCTCCTCAACTTTGCCATCGATGACATTCTGGAAACAGCTCTGATGGATGTAAGTAATGGCGGTGTGGATCTGTTGCCTAGAGAAAGACTTCTCGACCTTGAGTATGCGGATGATATTGTCTTACTGTGCGATAAAGCCCAAACCATACAACCCATACTTAGGCGGTTGGCAACCAATGTCCGTAGGTACGGTATGTGCTTTGCATCTTCAAATTGCAAAGTACAAGACTGGCAGGACCCTGATCCTGTACTCACCGTGGGTGGTGAGCAGATAGGAGTAGTCGAGAATTTCGTGTATCTAGGTAGCTGAATAAATGCTGGTGGGGGTGTGAGTGATGAGATCAATGCACGTTTAGTGAAACTCAGAGTGGCTTATGCCAATCTGGGCCATCTTTGGCGTTTTCGTGATGTCAGTCTGACTGTAAAAGGTGTGATCTACAACGCGTTGGTGAGAACAGTTTTGCTCCATACTTGTGAAACCTGGCCTCTCCGAGTTGAGGATGTTAAACGATTCTCTGTGTTTGATCATCGTTTTATCCGAATGATCACTGACATCCAGTGGCAACATCATGTTAGTAATGCAGAGGTTCGGCACCGTGTATTCGGGCACAGAGACGATAATGCAATCGGTGTCACCATCTTAAAACACCGACTTCGGTGGCTTGAACATGTTCTACGAATGTCGTTCCAGAGAATTCCACGTCGTGTATTATTTGCCGATGCTGGGACTGGTTGGAAAAAGCGGAGAGGTGGTCAGTGTATGACAGTCAGTCAGTCAGTCGGCTACAACGTAGAACCAGGCACATATGTGCATCGGTCCAGGTTGCCACACCGCATTAGCACAACGAGATGAACACCGGATTCATAGCAGTGGTTAGGTCAAAGGTGGTAATATATAAGAGAAAGACTGCATATAGAGATATAGTACAAGAAGAAAGAATTGGTTCGTAGAAAGAAAGATATGAAGTGATTTTAATCTCTTAGTTTAAGGGAAGATAGGGAGTGTATACACCGACGCCATTGTGATCGACTCTGAGCCATATCACCAAGAGTCTCCAACCATTGGTCACGAAAGTCACGCGGACCCCAACCAAGTAGTCTGCATCTACCAACATGGCTCAGACTAGAAGTTAGTGTCTTCAAGCACTGATGCCACGTTTTGGTTTGGCCGCCGATTCACTCGACAAGTCCCCAAATCAGAACACGGTTGAACAGGAAAAAGATTATATTCCAAATAGCAAATCAGAAGCCAGTAGGAAGCACAATAGGGAAAAACGTCGGTATATTTATAGTTTTTACATAAGAAGATTCCAGAGTAATCTCCGACTATCGATTAGTGCTGATTGGATAAGAATCAGCCAATCAGCGTGCACTAAAACAATCATGCATTGAGCATGCTTTAATCTAGTCTATGTCCCGCTAACACCTCCCCTCTGAGCAGATTCGTAGGATCTGGTGCTAGGGTCCAACTGCAACTGAGTGACTGACATGTCTGTTCCCGGCGTTTTGATTTTTCTTAAAAAAAAGTATGCATAACTTTTAATTCTCCAACATTCTCCTCCTCCTCGAAATAATGTTGGGTCCTTATGGCTCCAAATTACAACTAGTAGGACTTTATTTAAACCATGTTTCTCGTATTGACTGGAGAATCCACTAAAAATGACTAGATGATGATGAACAACCTTTGATCTGAGTTCATTATTTTCAAATTCATTATGAATCTCGTTAGCAGATAACGAGTCATTAAGAAAGTCAACGTCTAACAGAATTAGATTAGATTTTTGGCCATCATTCGACTCAGCTGACATATTTCCCTCATTGTTATAAGAAGGTTCATCAAAATCATATGCATTATTCTGAGAATCAATATCTGGTACACTGTCCCGCTAACATCCAGAAAGGTT